CCCCAAAACCCCAAAACCCCAAAACCCCAAACTACAATATTAATGCTAAAATTGTAAATTAATGAAATCAAAATAATAAAAACATTAATACATAAATTATTAACTTCAGAATCATGGATAGTGAATACCAAGAATTGACAAAAGAAAAGATAAACAGTACTGAGACACTGTAAGTAAGTTAAAAACTTGACGAGAAGCCAGAAATTATACTTTACTTCAGAAGATACATTGTACTGTTCTTATTTTGCTTGTGTACTTTAATTAATTCCTGCGGCTGGATATGCTTTGCACCTATTAGTACTATTCTTTAAGCAGTAAGTCAAATGATAAACCTAAAGCATTAATAATTTATTTTAATTAGGAGTATAAAGTGAGTATCTTCATAATCAATTACATGTCCCAGATCTATATGGTAGCTTATCTACCAATGAATTTCCCATCAGTGTTTGCTTTAGATAAACTTGGCTTAAGATATGGTGTTTTGATTGGCATTACACTTACAACTTTGGGACTTTGGCTCCGTGTACTAATAAATGAGAGTTTCGCATGGGTGATTGTGGGGTAAACTGTAATGGCAATAGCTCAACCCTTTACCTATAATGCACCAGCAAAGCTATCTGCTAATTGGTTTGGAGAAAGTGAGAGACTATATGCAACAGCGGTTGCTGCAAATGCTAATAATTTAGGCATCGCAGTTGGATACTTTATCCCTTCTATGTTTGTAACAGATGATGACATGAGTGTTGAAGGTGCTGTTTAAGATCACTCAAAGTGGCTAATGATGAGTTTAGCGATAGCAGCATCTTGCATTCTCGTTCCAGTTGTATTATTTTTCTAAGGTATTATTTATTTCATGATATTTATAGACAAACCCCCTACTTTCCCATCATTATCGTCCTAAAATAACTAAATCATGCAAAAAGGCTCATCACTTAAAAAAGATATGATTTCCCTTCTTAAGAATAGGAACTTTATGCAAACATCCGTAGCAAATGGAATGATTATGGGCTATTTCTTTGCCTTAACTACTGTTCTGACATAGATGATTTCTTTATACGATTTTACCGATTCTTAAAGTTCCCAGATTGGATCTACTTATTTATTTGCAGGAATAATTGGAGGAATAATTACCTCAGTTATTTTAACTTATTAACCCAGATATAAATTAGTTTCAATAGTGATCACTCTTGCTACTCTCGGAAGTAAGAGATTATATTCTTTATCATACCTTTTTAGCTTATGTATTAACATATTTTGCTATCCTTAGCAAAAACTATGGATTCTTAATGGCATCTTAGGTTATAAATGGTTTCATAGTAATTGGAGTGTTTTCAGTTGCTTTTGAGTTAGGAGTTGAGCTTTCGTATCCAATAGGTGAAGCTACTTCTGGAGGATTGACTAATTCTATTGGGAATGTAGTTGGATTCATTCTCGTCATGATAATGACACCTATCCTCAATAGCAACAAACAGATCGATGTTCTGATTTGTAGTATTTTATTTATTGGTGTGCTAGTGATTGCCATAATTTTGATAGTGATTACTAAATTTGAATTGATAAGATCAAAGATTGATTAATAGTAAATAGATAATTCAAAATAATTTAGTGGAGTAACTGATTGGCTTGATAATTCAACAAATGAATCAAAACTTTGACAAACTTAGTAAATTAATCTATGAAAATTGGATTTTATATTGACGATGATTATATTTGAAATCATTTATTTGCTTAATCAATAAAATTCTAATTTTTATTAAGATGGGGTTTTGGGGTTTTGGGGTTTTGGGG